TAAGTATTACTCACATCTAAATACCAACTTCAACAACGATGGGCTTCCGATCTAGTTTACCGTCTTCAACTCGAGGAAGTCCTACTGGTGTCAGCTGCCTTAGGATGTAAACTGGTGGATTACCTCATGGTATCTGCTTTTAAATTGTGCTGCTATCATAAAATCATGTGCTATCACATTCCTCTAAAGTAACCGGCCAATTCTTGCTGCTGCTCCTACCGTACACGGCCGGGGCTTACAGGATGACAACTTCTTCACAATTTTTTTCGTCCTCAGTTTTCCTCCTTGGGTCCCTGAACTGTATGCTTTCTATTTTCTCTCGATCTTTTACCTTTTTATTTTTATTCTTTTTCGCCTCCGTTTGCGTTTTCTCAGATATTGTCTTATGGTTAGATCGTGGTGTTTACAGGGTCTAAAGCGATGCCTTCCGAACCGATGTCTTGCGACGAGAAAGTAGAAGATATCGATGAGTCGATACTGGATGAGCCTGTTGAGGGTGCTAATGCGGTCGATGACGAGGAAATCGACGACTCAATTCTGGACCACGAAATGGAAGCTGGAAACGCATCTGAAGCTCAGTCAGATGCGCACTCTTACACTCAATCGGACAATGTATGTTTTTAAAATCCGTGTTGTATTCACTTCGTCAGTTCGTTTTTTTCGTTCTGGTAGGTCGCCGAAGCTCTTTTATGAGTGTATTAACTTACTAAATTTTCCCTCGAATCTCTTTCTGTATTTCAATTCCTTCTACTTCGCTGTCCCGTGTGTGAAGTAGTAGAGGTCCCAATAAGAACTCAATTGAAATTTCCAATTTCAATTCAAAAGTTATGCGCATCTTGCATGCAATCTCTATTCAGAAGAGTATGTTACGTTTCCGCTCTTGAAACGGCACTATTAGCATAAACTATATTGAGTTTAGTATCTGGATTGCGCAAAATTGCAGACAAAATAGGGTAACGTCGATTTTGTCGAACTGTACTCAGGTAATATGGGTAGCGGGATTTTACCACCTTGTCAAATGTCATAAATTTTTTGTCTCAAATATCTCAGCGATCGAAGGTCACCGGAGAGGAATTCTACTGTATTGACCTTTTCGATGATGGGGGCAAATATACAGGTTGACACACATTAAAAGTTGTCGTCTAATAACAATTTATTTTATTTTTTTTATTTTCTTTATCTATGATCATTAGCAACACGGTCTGGTGGTATTACACTGCACCATTTCTAACCCTTCTTCTTGTAAACAATACAGTAGTGATCGGGCTATTTTTACTCTACGAATCACTGGTTCTTGGCCTGTTTAAACGATGTGATATTTTGGCACTGTAAAACCTGTAAGTGCCGGAACTACTGCGAAATCGTGATAGATTCTACAGTTAAATAGGTCAATTATGAGTACGTTTCAGAGCCCACCTAGATCTGCGGAAGAGGTGAAGGAAGAAAATTCTAATGATACCCAGCACACAGATACTGAAGAAAAACCTAAACGAAATGGTGATTCTGCCTCTAAGGTATTTACACCTTACTTTGCTGTTAGTTTTTTTTTGTATAAATAAAATCAGCAACGCGAAGTGGGCATTCAGAAAACGCCCACAAAGCGATCGAGACGTTCTAGGACCAGGCGTAATGAATCCGATGACGAAAACGAGGAAGAGGACAAAGATGAAGATATGGAAATAGATCATAAAGGTCAGGATTGCATTGTACTGAGTCTAGACCATATCATGAAGCCATGATAGCCAATGATATTGCGAATGTAGCCAGGCTAGATTTTGCAATGAACAGTATCATAATTTTTTACGGAATCTCGTCATGATAGCTGCGATTTCTGTGATCTATTCAATACAGTCATATCCAACTTTCTAGCAATGTTAAGTAGCGCCGATCGCAAGATTCAAGTTGGAGACGATTTTCAAGCTCGGGTCGATGAGCCGCAAAAGACTGAGGAAGAGCTCGAAATGTCAGAAGAGGACGAAAGGGAGCATGTGAGTCGAATTACTAAGCACATCAATATTCCGTTTGAGCATTAGTGTACTAACTGCTTCGGTGAGGTAGACGTTGCTGAACTGAAACCGTCTCCGTCAGAATTGGACAATTTTAGGTCATGTGGCGCCCTCCTGGTGATCTCGATGAAGCTAAACTCATGGAATTTTGTGAAGATGCGATAGGAGTATACAAGCTGAGCTATGACCGGGTAAGCCGACCTTTTTAATTTCTATTCATTTCGAAATTCATGTTCGTCTAAATTACTATTTCTTGAAAAATTTGTTACAGGCGCTATATCTTCTGCAAAAGTCGAACTTCGACTTCGATGTTGCTAGAGAGAAAGTGAAAACGCGTCGTCTGATTACTGAGGAATGGAGTGAAGATGATCGAACACTTTTCAAACAGGCGTTCCATATGTTTGGAAAGAGGTTCGACAAAATACGGCAGACGGTTGGTTTTGACATCTACCAAGTGATGTTTTTGTGAGCACCATCCCATAAAATCCTTATCAGTATCCTGACAAGGATCTTCATTTCAGATGCCTCATCGTTCAATGGCTTCAATCATACAGTTCTATTACAACACGAAGAAGGACACTGATTATAAAAGCCTTTTTGATAGTCGCATGGCAGACGACTCAGATGATGCGGATGGGTGAGTGATGGATGTTCTAGGGAGTTTCACAGGTTCATTTTCTGCTCTGCGGTATATGACCTTGCAGCAGTAAAGTTATACGTTTCACTCCTTCACCTTTTCATTTGAAAGCAGCACAATGTTGTCCACCGTATATGAAAATGGGAAGTGTCGTGGACTGTTATGCATGCAATGCGTCGTGTCCCTGCTCCACCGTTTTAGTAGCAAAGAATAAATCGAATAGTCTGCTTCTCGTTTCTCCTCACAAATGTTGTCACTGTTGTTCCAATAGGAAAATGCAATCATTTTTTGCAATGACACTCTAGGAATTAGTAGAAAATCTCATGTTTGCATACATGGTGTATCGGAAAATGCAGTCCCCATAGTCGCCCAAACTTTTTGTGTAACAATTGGTTGTGTTCATACCGCGCTTACCCTCAGTAGATTACAATATCATGTTGACTTTGGAAGATCTCAAGTTAATACCGTTTTTTTAGTTCTGACGATGAATTGGATTATGAAGATGGTCTTTGCGATAACTGTGGCGAAGAATGTAATACACTGCATACGATTGATGATGTGAAGCTGTGTTATGTGTGCCGTGTTTACTACAAGTACGTGTGTACTTTTCATGAAAAGGATGTGATATCTCAATATGTCCTCAGGTTGATGCGCAAACATCGTCCGTGTAACTATGCATCCACAGTAAGTGAAGTTCGGCAAAGAAGAGTTCGAAAGTGTCCTGAAGGTAAGTCAGACTTCCCCGTTAAGGCTAGGAAAGCGGTGTTCGACTCTCCAAGGGCTCCGCCAAATTGACTCACTGTCCCAAGTTTTCAGACATGCTAGAAATTGCAAAGGAGTTTGTCGAGATGTCCACGTATGTTGAAGAAAGGCCAACTAGTGATGAGAACGTTTGTGATGAAATTGAGGTCGTGCAACCAGTGAAAACCAAATGCTATGAAGAAACCAAGTGAGCTTCAAATTCGCTGAGTATCATCTTTGCTTCTCAGTCCATTCATCTACTTTTTCTAGAGAACGTGCTATTAACTGTTTATGATACCGTCGATAGTTTGTTTTAGGGCAGCTATGCGCGAATTGACTAGGGTACGTTCACGAGCAATTCGCCTTGAATGTAATTTGAAGGCACAGCGAGCTGATGGGCTTATGAATGGTTTGGATAATTATAGGTATCATTGACCTCTTGTTAGATAAGATATTTATATCATTTGACCGATTGCTTCTCTTGTGCAAGCTCACTTGGTTCCTGAAAAATAGGTTTTAGATATCTCACGGCAAAAGAGGACAGAAAAGATGAGGAAGGATCATCTAGACGAGATCGAGTGAGGGGAAGTCACACATGGACTGAAGAGGAACGCATGATTGCATTCCACTGTAGGAATTCTTTTTCTAAATTTTTGTTCGTATTACACTACTAAAAGTATTTGAGTTTTGTAACTGCCTCAATTATCGTTGAATTGATGTTTTGAGGTCTTCTGCGTTACGGTAAAGATTTCGATGCTGTTGCGGAAGTGCTCGGAACGAAGACTTCAGACAAAGTCAAGAGCTTCTACTCAGAAATGAAACCAGATATTGACAGGGTAAGTATTTCGGGACTGTAGACCTTCAAGCGCATTGATTAGGAAGTTGTACCGTCCTTCCTGACTTCTTCCTTTTTCTCTCCATTGAATCTCCTGTAAATTTCCGAAGTTTTCATCGAAAAGATAAACAAAAGTGACTAGGTGGAGATTGTTGAACTTAGTGTTTTTGCAAAGTTCAGGTTTTCATGCCACATTCGAATCGCACGACCGGGAGGACAGTAAATAGGTAGTGAAGAAGGGAAAATTCTTGAACTTTGGGGTTAGCCGTGGAGTCAGAATTAATCGAATTTCATCGGTTCTTGAACTTTGGGGTTAGCCGTGGAGTCAGTATTAATCGAATTTCATCGGTTGATTGAGTCTGTAATGACGGATTCATTTCATTATTAACTCATTTCGTTACAGTTACTCGAAAAGGAGGCTGAAAAGGATGCCGAAATGATTAAGGGATTCAATGTTGAACAGGAGTTTTGCCTTGACGCACCGAAAAATGTTGAGGTTGTCAACTTGGATTAGTCGAGTGATCTCAGTGCTGAAGTGTTGGAGGATTTGATGTTCCCTCATGTAATTTTCGATCATGTTCTGTTGTAATGTTTACTTTGCTTCTTTTGCTTAGTTTTTGCTTTGATGCATTTTGATGGGCTTAATGCATCTTAGATCAATTTTTTCTCACTTTATTTCTATTCTGCTAAATTAAGCTAAGGAATCAACTGTGACTTATAGTTTGCTCTCGAATAAATTGTTCTATTTACTGATATACGCTCAAAAACTGTATTTGGAAATAACCATTACATGTTGTTCGATCCCTTTTACAGCTACCTATTTTTTCCACTTCGATTTCGGAGGGGAACCTTTCCAGTTAAACTTTTTCGTAAACTTTTCTCTGCTAGTGGATGAGTGCGGACAATTTAACATCACCGGCTGGGTCCACTGGATCGTCTATTCCCGTCGGAGCTGAAGCCACGAAGTACCATAAAAGCCATAGTTATCGCCCAGCTTCATCGAGAAAACTGTTCGGGGGCAACAATGGAGATAGCAGGTAGGAATTCATTCATCTCATAGTAGTCTGTTCACCACAGCAGATATTTCATAAGCGCGAAGAAGAAGTGCAACCTAGGTGTCAGTAAATTGGATGAAATTTCCCGGTTCGTCTTCAGGGGCAGACCGGTTTTTACAACGATAATGATTAGGCCTAATTTCACTCGTTTTTCGACTGATTTTTTTTCTCATTTTTATTTTGGTAAGTTCCAAGGCGCCCAGTTGCACTCCACGTTAGTGAATGTTCCTTCATTGAAGCGCGAGGGACCATGCCAGTTAGAATTCTTGCTCCTTATTGGTTATTACCTCTTCAGGAACTGCTCTGAAGCAGACGTTGGTGTTCATGAGTTGCATCAAGACGTAGGAGACCATGACGACAGTAACGACGACGTGGGAGCAAGCGGAGATAGATCGGCGATGACAAGCGAAAGGTATGGTGATGATTGGATTGTTGCGGGACTTTCTAGTCACTTATTTTGCTTTCTCTGACGATTGTTGTTGATTTCTTATCGACTCAGCTGAGGAATTAAATTGTGATTATGTATGTTTTCTAGGCTTGCGGCCCAAGTGGATAAAATGCTCTGCAAACTCACTCAAAGTATGGGCCGAGTTTCCAGAATTTATGGTGATACGAACCTTTTTGTGCACACTTCAGAATCCTTCGAAGCGGAGTTACATGAGCTCAACGTAGTGTTTCTTTATAAATGTTTTCATTATAGAATTATTTTATATTTATTCCTGGCTTTGAATCGAGTGTTGAATTTTGATTTCAAATGATAGCGATAGAAGTTTTTTAAAGTTAATAGGGTGTGGACCAGAAGATATAGGAATCATGCTCATTTGCTTGATTTTGGTGGGCTTATTCTTGCTTATTTGTGGTAGGCATATTCTTCAAGAAAGCATAATTCTGGACAGCGATTTTGTTTATTGAGTATTAGTCGGAAGAGGAGCTGATCAGAACAACCAAGCGTTTTTCTAATCTATCCCCTCCGGTTCAACATTTCTAGGTAATCAATCTTTTCGGATATTGATTAAGAAAGAAATTTTTTGAAGAAACTCAATGAGGCTGATGCACGAGATCAGCTTGAACGCTATGCACTGCGCTGCCATGTTAGCGAACGAGAGAAGGAGCAGCTTCATAGAAGAAACCATGAGCTCCATGTGAGTGGGAAGATTGCATTCATAGGTCCTCTTTCTGTCAATTCAAGAATAGTAAATGAAAGTGTTCTAAGAATGCCATTGAAATTCTGCGAACGCAAGTAATCCGTGGTCAGAGGAACACTGTTGAACAGGTCAGCGCGTTCTCAAAATTACAGGAGGCGTTTTTTCTAACTCGACTACTTTGAAGATCTTTTCACACTAACTTACAGCATTTATTTCCTTAGATGGAAGTGCTTCTCAGACAAGCCATCGATGCTTTGCGTGACTTGGAGCAATCATCCTCTGCGGAGGTCACGAAGTGGAAGCAGGTGGGCGGTTACAGGGTCCAGTTCCTTTACATTGTCTGTGAGTTCCATCTCAATCGAGTATAAGGGTTTGTCACAGTAGCTGGGTACATTGCCGTACGTTTCGACTACTCTCTTTTCACTGAACAAGTTTTTTCTTCCATCGTTCACCATTTTCATAAATGCAGCTGAGGGGTGAAGTCTTTGTTTTCATACTGCTTCTATGCAAAATATTTCTTGAGTTTACATTATCGATTGTTTTTACAACTTTGCTTAAATTAGGCATATTTTAGAAAAACAACAAGGACTACATCCTTATACTTTATTTTTAGAAACATGCTTTATCACTAGCTCAAAGCAACACCTTCCAGAATCAGCTTAAACAAACTGCGGCTCAGCTCGAAGCGAAAAAGGAGGTAAGGCCATTTGAACAGTAAGATAGTCGTTTCGCAAAATCGAAGCTGTTTTTCTACATTTATCGCTAGGAATTAAGCCTCGGATTTGGTCCTGTGGTATTGAGCAGATGTAGATCCAAGTAGACTCTTCAAGTGATTTTGAGTATTTTAGGAAGCAAAAGAAGCTAATAAACAATTGGACATGTTACGCTTCGAAAGGGATTCACTTAGAAATCATAGTGACCAAATCGAGCAGCAACTAGATCGTGGGTACAAAGTTTTTTATTAGGAAGGTTCTCGATTTCGCCGACCAAATGTTGTCAGCATTTGTAGAGGCTGATTCTGCACTGCATGATCTCGTGGCTCAAATGAAGAAGAAGGACGAAGACCTTCAAGCTAAATGCATAGAGGTCAGGTAAACCACTTCAATAGGAGAGATGATCTTTTACTAGAAAAACTTGATATATCAAATTACACTCAAATTTAAGGTAAATTCCAAAGATTCCGAAATTCGTGAGTTTAAGGAGAAACTCAAAAAGCTTGAAAACGCAGTTGAAACTCATGTAAAACGGCGCGAGGAAGAGATTACAAAGCAAATGGTTCGTTTTAATAGATTTTTCAAGAGGAAAGAAATGCTGTTTAGCGGAGACACCCCCAGACAACATCGTTTTTTTGTTAACCTAGTAATCTGATTTTCCGCTAAAGTAATGTAGTGGATAATCTTCTACCTTAGGATCTTTACTTGCAAGAAACGAAGCTGATAGATGCTGAAAGAGAGCGTCTCGCTCGTCTAAAAATATTGGAGGCACAGGAACGTCTGAAGCTAATGGAAGAGGAAAGGGATGAAGCCGAACGACGAGCAAAAGCTGCTGAAGAAAAGGTGAGTTTTATCCTATATCTGAAAGGCTTTTCTAGGATAGCTAAATGTTCTACCCCATTTTGTTAACGAATATTTCTTTCCTTGTGATACAAAGGATATGGTCACAAGGGTTCCCGAGTCATAGTCAAAAATCTTCGGTTTTGAATCACTTAGGAACTCTCTCTCTCAGTCTTGGGTTTCAGTAGTAGGAAACAACGTGTCTATAAGATGCTGGGACGGTTCCGACTTTGATCAAGAGCAGAATGTCTCTCCTATTACAAACGACTTGCGATTAAACTCTTTGAAATGTTGTCTATATTGTCTAATTCTTTCAAGGTCGCGGACTATGAAGCAAACTTTGTACGGTACCGTGGTCAGATGGAAGGCGAAGCGCTGCGAGCCATAACGAACGGCTACAGAAATGCGCTGTCAGCCATCCCATCTGCAAGAAGGGATGTCTGTTCCGGTCTCAACGATTTGCTTCCGCTCATGAGATCGTCAAGCTGTANTGAAAATAACGGTTTGTAATTATTTCCATAGAGCAATTGATGTGAGATGCTACACGCAAACAAAAGGTCTTTTTTTATTTCCGTTTGTCGTCTAAGATAATCATGTTGTTTCCATGCACCCGGACAGCCTTTACGTGAAAGTTTTCATATTTGATAGTTGAAAATTAAGAATAGTTCCGAAAAGAAAGAGTTATAAATACCATGCTACTCTACGCCATGTCAGAGACCATACTTCTTTTTCGCCATCGTTTTAAAACATAGTGCTCTAGAACGTGCATTTTCTTCTTTGATTACTGCTAGTGTAAGCCACTATTGGTTTATATTAGCCCTTAAACATCAATTTGCCTTTTACAACATGGCAACTTCTACATTTTTACCTGCGATACTACATTCCTTCTCCGTTGCAAGCTTTAACTTCTTGACTTTACTCTTACTGTTACAGATCCACCAGCCGATCCAGGTGATAAATCGCTTAGTGCTCGCTATCCGCGGACGAGATTGCCCTCGCGATCGGTAAGCGATGTAAGTGAATAACTGAGATGTTCAAAGTTGACCAACATTATTCAGGAAACATTATCTGCTCGATCAGGGCTGCCTGTTCAGAGAAAAAGAAGTACCAAATGAAGCTATACTGACAAATTAATCAGCTCGCAAAAACCATTTGCACAACTATTCTAATAGCCCATGTAAATGTCACCTTGCTCCTTGACTAATCCTATTTCTCGTATAACGTTTTAAAAACGCCTTATAACTTGTGAATATTTTCTTTTCGCTGTGCCGACTAAAGCCATCGTGCCTTATATGGATTTTTCTTATAGAAATTTGTATTTATAACGACTTTGCTAAGATCGGGACCTGCATGATCACTTGTTTGTATTATCTCGTTTGTGATCTCTTGAGGCAATATCTTGACTGTGTCATGAATTTTTGTCACTTGCTGTCAAATTGATAATTACTCTGGGAATAAAAATTCACTCATGTGTGTAGAAAACTTTACAAAATGTATTCTTGCGCAACCGCGGGAGAACAAAGTACTGATCATTCCGATTACACCTTTTTGTCGTCAGGTAAGCAACCAGTCACTGTCTGCAACCATCTCAGGAGAGCTAATTTGTGCTCACAATTTTAACCTTTGGGTATTTTCAGTAACAATGCTGTTACCTGCCTCAATATGCCGCTTCTGACCAGGCCAGGACGTCGACATCGTCAGCGCCAAGCGACAGCCGCTTCTATCTGTTGACAATAACATGAGCGTCCAGTCTCTGCACCTTCAGAATCATTCGGCTGCCATCAGTAAGTGTAGGTTTGAGACTCGCCTATTTATTTTATGAGTGCAGACATTCATAGGTTTTCATGAGCCTAGCCTCGTTAAGATTAAGGGACCCAAAGAGTGAGTGTCGTTCAGCTTGAGTGAGAGAATGAACAATTCAGTGCTAAACGGAGCTTACTGAATGAACAGATTGATAGGACCCACTACCTCTACTATTGCCACGCAGAGCCACCATTCAAATTGTAAAAAGACTCTAACCGTTCGATGGTTTCTCAGAGTCTGCAGCTCATCCTTGCCTACAATTTGTAGACCAGTGCACATAGAAGAAAGGGCGTATAGTGGTGGGAGAATAAGCCGTTAGTTGGAGAAGTCGTACTCGTGGGAGGCAACAACATTTGGAAGTCGGCAGAATATAGCATCGGTGCCAAAGAAAGCGCGAAATCCCGTAGAAATCGCGTAAAAGGGTTCTAAAAACTAGTTGGTGTGAAAGGGCTGTGGACGGCAGAAGCCGTGGAGGGGGTAGCGGATTTTATACCCAAATTCCCACGGTCGCGGGAACGCACACGGCAGGGGTTTCGCGGCAGTTAGTCGTCCAGTGTAAATTCGAATCCCATCCTCACACTGCTCACTTCCGTGTGCCGCGGGTACAGCCAGGTGGCATGCCGTTCGGGTACATTATTCCGCATCCGTATGGAAAAGTAATTGGAGGCTACATATTTTGAGTGCTCATTTTGAAAAACAAACCCCACCCCGTATCTGGTGAAGAAGATGGAAGCTCGTTCTTGTCACAAATATGCTTCACACCAGTAACAGCAATGGGTGAAATGTACCATGAAAGTTGCGACTACTTCAACGACGGGGACGGAGCTCTCCAGTACTCTGATATTATCTTTTCCACTATTCACACACAGATACCGTCTATTCACAACAGCTTTTCGGGTTACTGCCATCGAACGTGTAAACGTCAATCAAGCAGACTTCGCTGGATTAAGTGGTTTACGAGGAGTATTCGCAGAAACTACTACTGTCAGGGTGGGGCATTTGTCTTTGCCTCATCCACCAATTGATCGGTGTTGATTGCGATCTCTCTTGAGAAAACACTGGATATCCATATGGTACTTTTTGCAGGGTCTTAGCCTGAGAGACAAGGAAAGAAGGAAGTAGACGTTTCTGGAGAAACCAGGTTATCCAGCAGGAATGGAACTGGAAGGAAAGAGAGCAAGCGGAAGCCTAAATGAAGTCAGCCGAGAAGACTATTCCAACTGTGGAGTGGATGAACAGACCGCTCTCTTTTGCCCTACCAACGCTCGCTTTGAACTAAAAATGACTGATTTCAGATAGCCATGGCCTAAACAACCAGTATAAAAAGGCTATAACAAGGTGGAAAGGTTCAGTTCACGTCTTGCTGCAGAATTTGTCTAGATCTCTTGATTACCTTCATCAGCGGACATCTCGGAAGGCAATAAATGTCTACCACAACTAGTACGACAGCAAAATCAGCCGTATTTCCTGAAGAAAACGATAAAGGGACAGGATCAGAAATCTCAGAATTCACCACTCAATGCTCATCCTGTCATGCCACTGTGGATTCCAGAAAATTTGCAAACTTAAACAGGTATAGTTTCCGATACATCAGAGCAGTCAGGAGTTACTCAGGGTCTATGTACTTCCCCAGCTCACCCTTGTGGTCCTTAGGAAACTGTGCTGATGGAAGGTTGTGTGAGGGTGTGGGCGACTCCCCTCTTCTCCTCGTTGGACCTTCAAAGTAATCACGACTGTTGTTATTTACAGATATAATCTGAAACCGGGGGAGTATATGTTCGATTTCGAAGGCTCAACAGCATCAAAGCAATCTCTAGCATCGTTCATACATCGCCTCTGTGCTTCCAATGTCTATCGAATGTTCTTTGCATACACACAAGTCCTTCAGGTAATGATACTATGTGATAAATCGAAGTTTCCTGTTCTATTTAGACCAGGACATTACCTTATTGTAGCATGATGATCATCGATGTTGCACAACCTACGACAAATTCGCTCAATTCAATAGATTCAGCGATATTCCTTGTATAGAAGAATCACGAGTTCACGTCAAGTGTGTGTGGGAAATCTCATATTAAAAAATATAAATTCGATCGAGTACTACTAACCCTGATAGCATTCCAGGCATCCCACAGGCGACCATGACTATATCCATGCTAATTGGGTGGATGGTTATCGGGAACGTAAGAAGTTTATCATCACTCAAGCTCCCCTACCGCAAACTGTTGATCAGTTTTGGAAAATGGTTTGGCAGGAGAAGAGCTTGATCGTAGTGTCCATGATACAAACAGTGGACGTTCCCGGTGCGGAGGTAGGTACTACGAGTATAGGAATTATCAAGTTAACCACCATTACTATTCAATCCTGATACAATTGCAACAAATATCAAGCACCGTACAAGTAGGGTCAAGCGTACATCAAGAAGATCAAGAAATGATAGGGGCTCCGTATCAGCTGGTGATTACTTCACCGTTTTTTATCACAAAGTGCGAAAACCTGAAAAAACAAGCACATAGGTTACACCTAGTTATCACCCTCCTCTAGGGAGGTGGGGGATAAGGGATCGTATCGGCAAGCAATTTGCTTCGACACCATGTCTGGCACTGTGTACGTAGCAGATACTGATACTTTTCGCAACTGGTCCACCGATAGCTACCGACATCCATGTCTTCCCTGAGTGAGAAAGCGTAGAATGACATGTGGGTGTCCTATGTTAATGTAGGAGGGATCACAGGAGAGTGTAAGGAAATGCTCTAAATTCGGTTTCTCACTTCTCACTTGATGCGACGTTCCTCACGTTCACAGATGCAATGGCAGCAACTCGTTTAGTTGTTGCATTCGAACTGGATCCGCAATATGAATACTGAAGCAGTGGCACTTTATCGAGATATCAAAGCCAATAATGAACCCAGCACTTTCTTCTTCACGCCCCTTCATCAATCCTTATCAGTTGTTATCATTTTCACCTTTGGCTTATGCTCCGTCACATCATTCCAGATGCGCCTCATGACCAAGGGTGTAGTTATCATAATGAATTTTCCATCCCTCCCACCTTATCAACCTTTATCAAGTGCTATCACCTCTTAACACTCTTCATCTGCTATTTTTTCCTGTCAACAACCTCCGATGTTCTTACTACGTCATCTTCATTGCACCATTTTTTGAACGTTCTAGATCCTGAGCAGATGTTATAAACTTCAAGGCAACCTGACAGGCTGGTAGTGAAAGGCAGACAGACAGAAGACAGACAGACAGACAGACAGACAGACAGACAGGCAGACAGACAGGCAGGCAGACAAACAGACAGACAGACAGACTGGCAGACAGACAGATAGACTGTCATAGGCGGACAGACAGGCAGGTACATAAGTCGGCAGGCCGATCAATCTACAGGCTGACAACAGACAAACTAAAATACTGTATACGTTTGTATTTATATGCATAATAGAATTTTT